ATCTTTGCAGAAAGAGTTCTCTGCCTCAGATCAGAAGAAGCGAGCAGGCATGCATGCCCGTATCAACCCAGGAAAAAGGCAGGGCAGGTGACCCTTCTGAGTCCTGCCAGCCACAGCCAGAGTCCCGTGGTGGGAAATAACGAGCGTAAACTATCGGGGTGTTGCCTTTTCCACATCCAGCCCTGGCTGACGGTGGGGAGCGGCAGCAGTTCATTTCTCTGCCACTTGTCTGCTGTAAGCCCTTTCCTGGATGACCTGGCCTTACGTGAGCTGGTAAACCGTTCTCAGCTATTGCTATGTGTTTGAGAGAGTTTGAGACCCCAGATACAAGATTGCTGCCCAGCACTCCAGGTTCCTCAAGGAGCCCCGGACACAGCCAATATCAGGTAGATGAAAGCACCTGATCTCCCACCAGCGTCCACTGTTTGCACTGCCCAGTCCTCTCAGGCAGATCAAGCTAGTAGGGAGAAAGGCCGAAGGGGAGGGTTTCTTTCAGGCTTAGCCCAGCTGAACACCTACAACCTGCCCTGTCATTGCCCCCAAACATCTCCTTCCCTTAAAGAAATCTTGTCAACCTCAGGCTTAAATGCCAGCAAGGACCATTGTCACAGTCTGCGGGGAAATGCTTGAAGCTTAGGCTATCAAAATCCTCAGCCCCCAGCAAGCAAAAAAAAAAACAAACCAAAAAACAAAACCAACGAAAAAAACCACACACACACACCAAACACGTCCAAATAGGGAAATGAACTATGGGGGGCACTTGCATATATTTGTGCTATTAAATGTGTATTTTTTAAGAGCTCAAAAACCCCACAACTTCAAGCCATGTGGCTTGATTGCCCATTTGAATCTGACGGAGGGACGTGGGAGGATTCTGTGAACAGATCCTGTGCACCAGGAAGGCAGAATGTTCCTCCGTGTGAACACGAGGTCTCTTCTCAAAGTGAGTGCAATGGAGTCTGGCGTTCGGTTGGTTTCTTTTCTTTAATTCCCCACAGGAACACATTCTGCAGGGATTGTAACAAAAATACAGAGGGGAAAAAAACCCCAACACCCCAATTTCACATACCCACATTTGACTGTTTTCGGCAACTTTCCAAGGACGGCGGGGCGGAGCACAAAGCCGGGCAGTGTTATCAGCATCGTTGGCATCTCCCTCCGCTGACACCTTGATGGGCCCAGACCCAGCAGCAGCTTCTCCTGCTCCCAGGCAGCCTCCTTGAATGCAGGTGCTGTGTCCGCACACACTTGTAACTTCCACTCCCCAACCCCAGCCCCTCCTGTGTTTCTCCAAAGAGCTGAGCTATTCCAAAGGCACAAGCTTTGCCCAGTTGGGGACTTAGCCGATGTCTGAATAGACGTGACACTGACAGGCACTGAAACTCACAAAGGCAGAGCGATGGGCACTGAATGTCCTTGTGGGGTTGACAGAAATGTCCTGGGATTAGATATATTGTTCTAGATATATTGTTCTGTTTTGTCCAGCCAGAACCAATGCACAGATGACCCTCGGGGGGTTTTCAGAGGCGGTAAAGTGCACAGGAGGAGATCGCCCGTCTTTCCTCTGAGGAGCGGCTGGTGGATTTGAACCGCCTGCCCCTTGTGTTGGCAGCAAAATTCCTTAGAAATGGGATGTGCTAGGTGACCAATGGAAAGGCTGGGTGTTCAAATCCACCCAGCAGGACCACAGAGGAAAAGACCTGGTGACCTATTGCTATTAGATCAAGCTACAGAAACGCTGAGGAGTTGGGCTGAAGTCTAACACACACACACACACACACACTC